TTTTTTACATAGTTGAGCTCAAATAAAATGAGGGTTCTGCAGGAAAAAGTATTATTGATGGCAACATGTACACCATCGGCTCATTATTTTCTATCTGTTTTATATGCCTTACATTTGATATCATGGCACATGATGTTAAAATAACCCAGAATTTTGCAAACTCCAGAAAAACAAGTATTGATGGTTAACTATTAAACCACTGTCAGCAAATAAAAAAAAAAAAAAAAAAGTTCTGCAATCATGTTATTTGAAAACTTTATTTAAAGGGGAGCAATGCTGAGAAAATGCATTAAAATGCATGAAAACAAGCTATATATATTTAAAAAGTTTTTAACATATGTTATTTATAGATTCTGTTATCAAGGTGTTGAACCTTATTCTTATTTCTTCTTATTTTTTATAAAAAAAAACAGGTGATGATTTGACCAATACTTAAAATATCTAAAAATACATTTCAATGTTCAGAGGGAGATTAGTTTGTTATGATTGCAATGTGTTTGTTAATTGATAGTTGTTACTTATATTAATACCTTGGTTTTTTAAATTTTTTTGTAAAACCATATTGTTTATCAGCAATTAAGTTATTTTATTTTAGTTACTTTGTAAATTTATCTTTAAGCAGTTTTTGTTTTACTTAAAGCTGATCATGAAAAAGTTGATCAATAAATTGCGGGGTCTTTTTTTTTTTGCTTTTTTTTTTTAATTGTTGTGACCTTAAAATATTTTTGTAAATGAGTGAAAGCAGGTGTCTAGAAACACAGGTGTAGTATTTATTTATTTCACAGGTGTAGTATTTTATAAATATGAGGTAAAACAGTTCTAACCTGATTGTTTTCCTCCCTAGTCAATTGTTCTTTACATTATATGATAAAAAGACCAATGAATAATTTTAAATTTTGTTCAATAAAGATTTATTATTTTAATAATTTGTTAAAACTGTTTGTTTGAAGAACTGTTTGTGCAACAAAGCTATGTTTGTGTTTTTTGTTAAATTTAAATAGTAATAAATTTGAATTATATTGACATATTTGTCTTGATTATCTACTCATTATGAAATGCTTCATTTAAATAATACTTTTTTTCGTATATGTATTTTAGTTTTGTTATATATTTTTTTCATTTTTCTTTTAAATTAAAACAGTCTAGTTTTTTATTATTTGAATCTAAATTAATTGAATAAAGTTAAAGTTTTGATTTCATTCTGTTTTTAATTCACTTGAATGTATTCCACAAAAGTATTTTTTTTTTATTCTATTCATGTTAACATTCCAGGTGATTCCTTAATTCCATGATTTTTTATTAATGAGAAAGCTACTGCTCTGAATATCAGCATATTATTTTATAGTCCTAACTTGATCATTTGATAATCAGGGCACTCTAATTTGAGTTTGTGTTATTATATATTTATTAATAAAAATAAACAAACAACAAAGCGAAAATTTGTTGTTTGAAATTTTTATTTTATAGTTTAAGTTTATTTATTTAAGTTTAATAAATTATATAAAAACATATTTCTTAAAAATCATAATTTTAAATTCAATTTTGTAGGCAATATATTTAGAAAAATATGCATTTTGAATACTTTTGTACTAGGAAATTTTATATGCTCAAAAGGTTTGCAAACTTTCCATTTTCCATAACAATTGTTATTCGTAATTATGCATATAATTATAAGTATAACTGTTGAGTTTGTTTGCACCTTTGTTACCAGTTTTTTTTTTTATAGAATAGGTGATTTAATTAAAAATAATTTTTATTAGTTGTTTTAAATAACAATAGTTTGTTTATTTGCGAATTTTAGTACTCCAAAATACAAACCTAACAAATAAGGCTGATGCACATACATAGAAATTGATTGTAAAATCATACCTTTCATTGCCGAAATCTTGTCAGATATTTATTTTTTAAATGTGATAGCTGTGTAATAATATAGAATGTTTTGTAAACAAGATTTTCTCAGTTCAATGAGTAAAAAATAAGTGAAAAAACCTATAATGAAATACATATTTTTATATTTTGAAAAACTTTATTATTTTTTTTAAATAAGATTTCAGTTTTTATTTTTAATTTATCTGAGCCATTCATCAAGCAATTCCTTATTAAAAAATTACATTTTTGTCAAATTATTCAAAAATTTTTGTATCTATTGAATTTTGAATGTTATATTTACAATTTTATTGCTTAAGATAAACTGTTTTTAATAAGATTTATAAAGTTTTAATTTATACTTATTTGAATTATATTTGCTTTAAGAAAAACGAAGACATTTCTTTTAACAACATTATAATGACAGTGCACAGTGGGTCAGAGTGTGGCAAAATAGCAAAAAATCTTTGTTGGCTGTCACGCTTGTCAGCATGCTGAAAATTCGTCATAATGATGAAAACATGTTTATTACAGGAAATATGTAGTTAAAAAAACAATAAATATTAATTAATACATTTTTTTATGCGGTTATTAACACTTGAATTTTGTGTTTCAAAATGCTATTTTGTATTTTTAAATGATCAACTTTCTTAAGCTACTATTGTTTTAAACTAATTTTATTGAGTATCATTATTTAATATATTATTTGAATTAACATTGCTTTTTTTTGCTCAAGCTTTTCAAAACTATTTAATGTAAGTGTAATTCTTAATTTTTATCCATCAGTTTTCAATATTTTTTTGCAACTAATTATTACTTATAGGTATCAGATAAACCATCCTCTTCTAATCATTTGATTATGTAAATCAAGCTCATAGCTTTTCAATAGCAGTCCATCATAAATATTTTGCAACTTTTTGCAACAAATAAAGTTGTTATAAATAAATAATACTGGTTTCATACTTTTTATTGCAAAAAAATGTTTTTAATAAGTTCTTAAAACATTTGATTATGTAAATCAAGCTCATAGCTTTTCAATAGCAGTCCATCATAAATATTTTGCAACTTTTTGCAACAAATAAAGTTGTTATAAATAAATGATACTGGTTTCATACTTTTTATTGCAAAAAAATGTTTTTAATATGTTCTTAAAACTCTTCTAAAATTATTTTTTAACAAAAAATCAATTATACAAATGTGTAAAAACAAATATAGAATATTTTTTGTTCTATGTATGGTGAATATTGCTGCTTTCAACCCCTCTTCCTTCCCCTCCCACAAAAAATAAATTAAAATTTTTCTAATCTTTTCAGTATATTTAATGTTACTACATTTAGTTTATATACTAATAATTTTTTACAGATATATGTCAAAGAAGAATAAACAATTGTTTCAATGAAAATTGTTTTTTGATGAAATATTTTGATTTTTACAATTCTTTAAAGGATAACATTCCTATTCAAGACACTGAGAAATCATACCATCATTTGCTAGCATTCTTTGAGTTACCCTTTGATTAGAACAATGACATTGTAAAGAGATCAAGACTTAAGTACATTTTAGCTCATTTTAAATTGCACCAGAATACCTGAAAACACATAGAATCTTCATTTATTAGGAACAATGGCTTGATAATGAATTTAATTTAAATAATTTTTTTCCAGTCAAAATAACCATATGGAATGTAAATTCTCCATCTTCTTCTAGCACTGGCTGACCACCAAGTACTGACTTTCAAGAGTGTTTTTCAAGAACTAAGTATCAACGTGTTAGCAAACTTCAAAAATGTCACTCGTCAAATGAGTTTTTATTTGCTTCAAATGTTTGATTAAATAAATAAAAACCGAAATTATATTTAGATAAAAATATCTTTATCCCTATTTGGAAATGAAGCATTAGCGTTGATGCTAGATTCAAATATGATCAAAGCTCCTTTTTATTTTCATAGAAATTTAGCAATTGCAAAACAATGCAACCTGTATCCTCCATATAACAATATAAAATCATCAAAACTTTTGTGCTACCTTAACAACATGATTTTTACTGGCTATATTGCGAGCATCACACTGCAAAGTTTATGTGGCCATACAGCTCAACAACTTTGTTCAAAAGAACTAATTGTAAAGTTGCACTTAACCTTAATTTGCATATCAAGTGAATTTCATATAAATAGTTGTAAGTTTCGCTTATTTTGTCTGGAGACTGCAAAACTCCATTCATGCTTGTATCATTGGTATTACATGCCTCAGAGCCTTCACAAGATCGCAATTCATGGAGCAGAAGTAATAGAAAGTCTATTATTGCCATTAGGTTTATTTAGTAACAAAGCTCAAGAAGTTATAAATATATAGAATTTACATCATTCCTGTAAAAATTCAAAAATAAAGACATATGAAGATGTAATGAAAAGACTTTTTTAATTGTAATTAAAAAAAAAAAAATTATATTGATTTTAAGCTTTTAGCAATAAGTTTGAGCTTTATATTCATTTTATATGGTTTGTATAATGTTATAACTGTTCTAATAAAAATAATTTATTAAAAAGAAAAACTTTGGCACAAAAAACACTTTTTTTTCACTGTGCAGTGGAAGCATTATATCAAATTAAAAGATGTTTATTATTATTTTTTCTTTTTTAATTATATAGATAGCGAGAATACTTGTATTTTATGAATCAAAATATAAAAAATTGAAGAAAATTGTATTTTATATATATATATATATATATATATATATATATATATATATATATATATATATATATATATATATATATATATATATATATATATATATATATATATATATATATATATATAATTAATATAATAATATATATATAAAAATTGAAGGAAAATAATTTTATGACCCCTTTTACTATTTATTTTTTTGATTCTATTTACTACAATTTAATTGGGTTACTTTTTTATATTTATTTTTTGTATTTATACGCATACTTTTTTGACCTAATTTTGTTTGGCAAGTATTTTTAAACTTTGTGAACTTCTTTAATAAAAAATTCTTTGACTTGTTAGTTTCAAGATTACATAAAGTTATTAATGTAATTACTGAAGATGTTTTAGCTTATTCATTTTGTTATTTTTTTTTCTTCATTTAAGTTATTTATTTTGTAGGTTGCTATTATACCAGGATCATGTGAACTCTTTACAGGTAGGTTTTTTTGACTTCTATTTTAGCCAATCAGTAGAATTTTATTAGTAAATTAATGGTCTATATATAACATGGCTGTGTATGTTAAATCTTCTAAAGAAGCCTATATATGCAGTACAAAAGAATGACAGTGCTATATGAAAAAACTTGAAAAGTATCTTTTAAACCGTTGTGATTGAATTTTATAAAAAATCTGATTTATGAGAAGAAAAAGTGTTTTAATTGAAAGTACTTTATTTGAGATGTAAAACAGAAGTTAAATTTTTTTAAGCAATTGCTTAAAACAGCCTTCCACAGTAACATCACTTATCCTAGCTTACACAAAATGTTTGAGCACATCCTACGAATGTTGCAAACTTTCTAGCACTGTAAATGTTCTGGAAAATTGTGTATACACAATTATAAATTTATATTCAAGAAACATTGCCTCAATGTTCTTTTGAGTTTGCAAAACGTTTAGTACAAATGTTACTTGAACCAACTTCTGTGAACTCCAATTTACAGTTCTCGAGCATTCAATATGAACGTTTAAATAAAAAAAGCGAAGATTTACTCAATGTTCACTGCAAACATTCTTATGATAGCACTTGAACGTCCACCTAAAAGAAGCAATAAAAAACACAGAAGTTTACCTAATGTTTTTATTTTTTTTTAATTTTTTAACTAAATATATAGGATTAGATGGGCTTAAATAAGTACTTAAGTAATGTGTGAGTTAGTAATAATGCACTTGTTTACAAATTCACCATACTTTACAACTAAATTACACAAGGTACATTTCTAGCTTAACAACTTTGTTTCATATAAATATTGGTAGTTATAATTATGAACTTTATATTATGCCTCTGCGCATAAACTTTTGTGCGAACTAGCTCCTTGTTTTAATTTGACAACAAAAAATTTGTCTTGTTGCATGAAGGAAGTGCTAGTAAAGTTCTTTGCAATAAGTTGAAAATTCATATTTAAGATGTTTAGCATACATATTAAATTAGAAATTTTGTCTAAAAAGTTGAAATAAATTATTATCTATTATATATTTTTTATTAATTCCATATAGTTTGTTAGTTAGTTAATTTAAGTTACACAAAGCCACAGCCTTGTTAAACTCATCATCAGCTGAGTATATGCATCTATACCCAACTCATATTTCGGCCACTTTTGTGTGGCATTTATGGTAATTGATGAGTTGTAGCAACTATGATGACTGAAAACTGTCTAGCAGTTGTTTAAACTTATCAAGTGATGTTGCCTCAATGACATTATCTGGCAAAGCATTCCAGTCATTGACTACACGGTTGTTAAAAAACTTATGTCTGATTTCGCAGCTCCTGACAATCTCGCGATGAGATATATATGATAAATAAAAAATATATCTATTATATATCTATACATATCTATTGTATTATATATATATATATATATATATATATATATATATATATATATATATATATATATATATATATATATATATATATATATATATATATATATATATATATATATATATATATATATATATATATATATACTGTATTAGGTTATTGTGTTTCGTTTTTTTATTTTTTTATTTTTTTATTTTTTTTTATTTTATTTTATTTATTTTTTTTTATTCATTGTTTATTTTCTTGTCCTTGTTCTTTCTCGAGTTTTTGTTTACAAAATTGTTTACAAAATTGCTCTTCTCATTTTAACCAGGTTATATGAGAGCGAGCCTTTTAGTTAATATTTTATTTAAAAATCAATGTATGATATTTAAGTATAATATGTATTTAAAGTAGTATAATATGCAGGCCTTGTTTTAAATAAAAAAGTGCTTAATGCATAAGCTTAACGCGATTTTGACGTCATAAAATTATCTTTATTTTTTTTTATAGACCTTAAGTGTTTTAACTACCGCAATAAATAAATAACCGCAAACTAGTTCAATTTAACAACTAACTCAAATATAAACTATAAACGTTTTAAATATAAATTTATTATGAAAATTTTGTAATGTTTTGAATTACTATTTTATTATTAATTTAAGTTCAATATTATTTAGTAAAATATATATATATATATATATATATATATATATATATATATATATATATATATATATATATTTATATATATATATATATTAATTATTTCTGAAATTTGTTTTTGAATAATTGTTTTTAATCGTTATTGAATAAAAAATAATAATGATTTTTTTTATTTTTAAAAATTTCTAGAGTAAACAAAAAATATTAACATTGATAAACACAAACCCATGTTAATTATTTAAACAACGATTTTGTTTTGACTAGCAAAGAAAAATTTAAGTTTTTAAATATTTTTAAAATTTTTAAAAGCGTTTTAACTTGCGTTTTATAAAAATATAAAAAAGTTTTGTCTGCTTTGAGCATATTTTTGATACATAGTTTAGAACGCGTTCGCTAGGAATTTAATTCATAAATTTTTTATGTTATTGTAAAAATATTTAACTTTTTAAACAAATCACAAAAAAACAGAGCTATAGAGAAAAATCGTTTTCAACGATTAAATCTTTTTTTTTTTTAATTTTAGGAAATTTAAAAAAAAATTAAATTAAATATAAAAGTCTTAATTATGCAAACTCTTTTGTTAATTATAATTAAAACAATAAAACAAATACTTCTACGCCAAACTTTAATTGTGCAAACTTAAAAAAATACTCAACTGAAATAATTTAAGTATATTTATTAATTTGAATCGTATCTGTATATAATAAACGTTCGTAAAAATTTGTTTATTAAAAATTAAGTTCCTTAACTTATAAACAAACTCAAAAGTATTTTCATTCTACGTATAATTACAAAACTCTTTTTTTTTTTCGTTTGTAAGCAATTTAACTTAATAAAATAAAAAAAAGAATAAGTATGAGGTAATCTTTGTTAAGAATAAATTTAATTTATTTATTGAACTATATTTTTATTTTTAATTATATATCAACTTAATTAAAATATAGTAACATGTTAAAATATTTTAACATGACTTGTATTATTTATAAACCGTTGGGCAGTTGCCCTTACGGCACTATTGTTTTTGGATGATATTTTATTTTGATAAAGATCACATAACTTGCATTTGATTTTAATAATGTAAGTCTTCTCTTTTTCTGTGATCATCGCATCTGCAAAACATCAGCAAAGTCCCAAGATTTAAAAGTAAATAAAAGTTTTTTAAGTAAATCTTTTGTCCTTCAAAATACAATCCATATTCGAACTTTAAACAATTTAGAGATAATAGAAATATACAAGGTTTTTGTATACTAGTTTGTTTTGTTTTATAAAGAAAAATACATATTCATTAGTAAAAAATGGAGACTGTCATTAAATTAAAATGTGCCTTAGTATTTATTTAACGGAACCTGTAATGTGCGCGTGCATAATATAACCTCCGTTATATAAATATATTCAACGTAATATTAGTGTCATCAGCAGATGTTGTAGTCTACTCATGATTTCTTTACCTTATAATATAACTTGATTTATGAAAAAAAAAACTTATTGAATCGCACGCAGAAGAATTTTAACAAATTGTCTTCATTCAAATATTGCGAGTTACAGGTAATTTTTTTTTTCTGTGCCGACCCCCTCCCTCCGCATAACTTAAACTATATACCTTTAACTAATAAGAAAAGCAAAGACATTTTTTTTAACACCTCGAAAAAATGTCTTGGTATTTTTGTTATCATGATAACAAAAATATAAAAACATTTTTTGAGATTTTATTAAAAAAAATGTCAATTCTTAATACCAAATTTTTTTGCAAATGTTTTTTATTATAAATTCAGTAAAAAATTCATAAAAACTCTATATTACAAAAAACTTTTATATTCTGTATTAATAAATATGGAATATAGATTTTTTAAAAGTTTTTTACTAAAAACTTTAAAAAATTACTACTTTTTATTAAAAACATTGCAAAATATTTGTAGTTAAGGATTGACAAACAATTTTTCATGTTGCTAAATATTTGGATAAAAAGTTTAGCGTCAAATTAATTGCTATAAAAAGAAAAGATATATCGCTATGAAAAGTTACAACAATTATTTGTAAAATAAATTCTTTTTTTAATAAATATCTTTACATATCGTTATTTAAAAGTTAATGTGGTTTTTTTTGAAAATTAATTACTTCTTTTATGTTACCGCTAATTTAAAAGTTAAAAAATGATAAAAAGTAGCTTAACCAAAACAGCTCTACGCGTACGTAAAAAGCGCTTAAGGCGTACGTAAATCGCTCTAGGCGTAACGCTTTAAAACAAGGCCTGATATGTATTTAAATTATATTAAATATGTATATAATTTATATACATATTATACATAATTTATATACATAAAATATGTATAAGAAGTATATTATAAACATGACTATTATATGTACTTGTCGAATAGTTGACTCTGACAAGTATGTATAAGTTATTATTCATACTTGTCAGATTCGTCTAGTTGTATCTTACAAGTGTGAATATTAGTTGTATTTATATAAAGGTGTTTATACAAATGCTCTAAATACATGAAGAACTTATACTTGTTTTGTTTAATAAAATGTTATGTTAAAATACTTTAGTTCTGTTTTAAATGAAATATATTATACTTGCTGGTCAGACTCGCAAAATACGGGTTTTGATAAGTCTGTTCCATACCATTCTTCCCTTCTATATTTATTACACTTTTGCTAAAATAATAAAACGCTATGAAATAATTATTATAAAAAAGTATATAAATTTGTATTTTTATTTACAATTAGCAAAACGTTCTTTTTTAGAAAAAAAATAATAAAACTTTTTAACAATTAAAAAAAGCATAACTTATTAATAAAACGGAACAAAATAAATCTTTTCAACAAAATTTATATACCAACAAAACAAAAAAAATTTTAATATTAGAAAAAAAGCAAAGAATGTTTTTTTAAACTAAACATCGTTAAACATAAAAATGTTTTATTATATACAATTACTATACATAATATATATTTATACATAATAAC